AACCTCGAGCCGAGCCCCCCGGCCTCCCCGCACATCCAGCCCCCCAACCTCGAGCTGAGCCCCCGGCCCCACCCTACTCACCCCCCCCCACCTCCAGCCCCCCAACCTGAACTGAGCCCCCGGCCCCGCCTGACTCACCCCCCCCAGCCCCCAAACTTGAGCCGAGCCCCCAGCCCTGCCCTACTCACCCCTCCCACATCCAGCCCCCCAACCTGAACAGAGCCCCCCCGGCTCCAGCCCCCCCAACCTGAGATGAGACCCCGGCCCCGCCCTACTCACCCCCCCCCACATCCAGCCCCCCAACCTGAACAGAGCCCCCCGGCTCCAGCCCCCCAACCTGAGCCGAGCCCCCAGCCCCACGGGTCACTCACTGTCCGGGAGCTTGGTGACACGCTCGCCCAGGCAGTGGAAGAAGAGATGCCCCATGGCCTCAGCCGCTGACATCCGCTTCCGCCCCTCGAACTGCGGAGACATGCCCAGGGGCGGAGTCAGAGGGGTGGACATGCCCCTGGGGCGGAGTCAGAGGGGTGGACACGCCCCCCATGGGCGGAGTCAGGGGCCAGACCCACCAGCCCCCAAGATTCTGCTACCAGCCCCGCTCTCAATCCAGGGCCACCCACTGTCCCCAAATCCCCCACCCCCGATCCCATACTATAAACCAGTATACCCCGGCCCCCTCCCATCTCTCACCTGGAGCAGTTTCCCCAGCAGGTCGGCTCCATCACTGTCCAGCCTACATGGGGGACATGGGAAATATCAGCCCCCCCATGAACCCCCATAAACCCACAGGGGGATTTACACACACACACACACCCACAGCCCGCAGGGAGATCCAACCCCCCCGGCCCTCCCCTCGCAGCCCCCAAGGAGATCCAACCCGCCCGGCCCTTCCCCCCACATCCCCCAGGCGGATCTGGCCTCCCGGCCGTCACTCACAGCCCCCAGGACCCCCCGCGTGCAGGGCTGACCTGGGCGCGTGATGGAGCAGGGCCTCAGGCCGGTACTTGGGGTAGTTGTAGGACCGGAACTCCTCGTTGGCCAGGATCCCTGGCCAGGTCTCCTCGGTGGGGGTCCCTGGGTGAGGATACGACAGACGGGGTGAGGATACGACAGGGCCCCATGGAGCCGCCCGCCCATCCCCTGCAGCACTACGATGCCCCCCACCCACACCCTGCAGTACAGCGCCCCCTGCCTGCCCCCTGAACCACGGTGACTTCCACTGAACCCCCCGCCCGCCCCCTGCAGCACGGTGACCCCCGCTGAACCCCCACCCACCTCCTGAAGGGGGGATGATGTGTGGATTTTCTCGTGTTGTGTTGTATGTGAGTTTTATTGTTTTGCATGAAGGCTGAGTGTGCCTCAGTTTCCCTGGGTGCTGCACCAATGCCTAGGTGGTGGGAATAAGGGCGTGTGACTTTGGCTGAGACCCTTGGGGGCAGGTGAGACGGCTCTAGCTGCCAGCCGGGAGGGGGATGCGACTCTGCCAAAGACAAGGAGCAGCAAGGGGGGGTGGCTGAGGTGGGGTGGCTGGAAGCTGGCAGTGTGCTTGGGGGGCCTGGAGGGGGGCAGGGGGAGAATCCAGGGCATCTGGCCCAGGACTCCCCAAGATGGACTTGGCTGAAAGTCCCTGATTTCTGTGCTAACAAGCTCTGTCCTACCCCGTGTTCCCGGCTGGCTGTGGAGTTGGGGGGCAGGGCCCTCTGGCTCCTCCAGGACCCCTCCGGGCAGACTCGCTGCGGGAGGCGCAAGGGGGGACGCGGATGCTGAATGCTCCGGGCTCAGCCCCAGGACGGTGGAAGCTGTGGCAGCGTCTTGCCCGGGGAGAGGAGGCTCCCCCCGAGTCCCGGCTGGCTTCGTAGGGAGCAGCCCCGGAGCATCGCCCCAGGGACTCCGTGACACACGGCGCCCCCCACCCGCGGCACTGCAGCCCCTGCCAAGCCGGCACCCTCCGACCATGCTCCCCGCAGCACAGCACCCCCCGCGGAACCCGGGCCTGCCCCCAATCGCCCCCGCTGACCCCCACCGAGCGCCCCCCTCACCGAGGATGCGGAAGATGAAGTGCAGTTGTTCCTCCACAGTGGAGCCAGGGAAGAGCGGGCGGCCCGTGGACATCTCATAGAATATGCAGCCCACGCCCCTGGGGGAGAGGTGCTGGGGTCAGGGTGCCCAGAATTGGAGGGGGTGTCTCCCTGGCACAGCCCCCCCCCCCGGTTCCCGTGGGTGCTCAGAGGCACAGCCCCCTCACCCCAGCACGACTGATGGCAAAACCACCCGGGCTGCAGGAGGGGACCTGGCCCCCGCCTGGCCTGGCGCATCCCACCCCCACCCACCCCCTGCCTTCCCCTCCCCTGCCTGGGCTGTTGTATCCCCCTCCCCTGCCTGGGCTGGCGCATCCCACCCAGCCCCGCTGCCTGCCTTCCCCTCCCCTGGACTGGCACGTCACACCCCACCCTGCCACCTGCCTTCCCCTCCCCTCACCCGAGCTGACACGTCCCGCGCCAGGCGGTCTGAAACTCCAGGACTGGGACGGCCGGAGGGGGGTGGGGTGGCGGTGTCACTGATCAGGCCCCGCTGGGCAGACCGGGGTGGGAGGCTGGGGGCTGCGTGGGGGAGGGGGCAGCACTTCGGGTGTGGAGTCCAGGGGGTCCCCATGCGGTGAGAGCACGAAAGGCCGGGGCCAGATAATGGAGCTGGACTGGGCCAGGAGAGGAAGGGGGTCCTGGAAGGGATAGGAGGGGGGCAGAGGACCAGTATGGGCTGGGAGAAGGGGGGTCAGGGTCAGGTGGGAGCAGGAGGAGGGGGGCGGGTCCCAGGCCAGGCGGGGGCAGGAGGGTCGGGGCGGGTCCCAGGCCGGGCGGGGTCACTCCGCCAGCCTCCATGGCACCCCCAGGCCCAGCCCGCAGCCCCCCTCCCCCCGGCTCACCACATGTCGATCTGCGTGGAGTACTCGGTGGAGCCCAGCAGGATGTCGGGGGGCCGGTACCAGAGCGTCACCACTTCGTTGGAGTACGTCTTGGTGGGGATGGACTTGGCCCGCGCTAGACCTGGCAGAGAGAGGGGGATGGCACTGGGGGGTTCCGGGGCTCACAGCTTTAATTCACTGCACTCGTTGAGGAGCAGGTTCTGAGGGACGGGGTGGGGGTTTGGGGGTTCAGGAGGGCTGGTGGGGATCGGGGGGCCCTGGGGGGATCCGGGGCTCACCGAAGTCGGCCAGTTTCAGCTCGCCCCGCTCGTTGATGAGCAGGTTCTGGGGTTTGAGGTCGCGGTGCAGTACCTTCTGCCGGTGGCAGTACGCCAGGCCCCGCAGCAGCTGGAACAGGAAGAGCGTGGGGGGGGGGGGACGGAGAGACGCCGTCAGCCTGGCAGTAGGGGGGCCCCCCGGGAGCTCCCCCCAGCCCCGCCGCGCTCACCTTGACATTGTGCATGTTGATGAGGTTGCCGCAGTCGTCCAGGTACTGCTTCAGGTCCTTGTCCTGCGGGGGCAGGGCAGGGTTAGCGCCGCCCGGACGCCGGGGTCCCCGCGAGCCGCCCCCGGCCCCCCACTCACCAGGTACTCGAAGACCAGGGTCAGCGACTTCTCTGTGTGGATGATGTCGTGCAGGGTGACGATGTTGGCATGTTTCAGGTCCTTCAGCAGGGACACTGGGGGGAGGGGAAGGGGCGAGTGAATCCCGGCCACCCAACCCCCAGCCTGCCCCCTGGCGCCCCCACCCTCCAGCCTGCTCTCCAGCCCCCCAGCCTGCTCCCAGCCCGCCTCCTGGCCTCCCAGCCTGCCCCCCAGCACCCCCAATCACCTCCAGCCCGCCTCCCGGCCTGCCCCCCCAGCACTCCCCCCCAGCCTTCCCCGCCCGGGCACCTCCAGCCTCCCCTCTGGCCCGCCCCCCCGGCAGGTACCTTCGCGGATGGCCGTGCAGGGCGCCCCCTCCTCGTGCTCCAGGCGAATTTCCTTCAGCGCCACCAGATTGTCTGTCAGTTTGCTTTTGCCCTTGTAGACAGTGGCGTACGTCCCCTGTGGGGCAGTGATGGGTGGAGGGGGACCTGAAGGTCACAGCTGGGGGCCCCTCCTGCCCCATCCTCCAACCAGCCACTCGCCCCCCTTCCCTGGTCCATGACCCCCACCCCAGCGTGCCCCCAGATCTCTGCCCCATCACCCACAGTCCCCTCCCCCGTCCCATGCCCTCTCCCCCGCCCCATGGCCCCTCTCCTGGCCCCTCCCTCTAATCTCATCCCCTGGCTCAGATCTGGGGGGGACATTAGGACACACACCCCCCGCCCGCTCCCCGGGGCCCAGCTCCCACCTCTCCCAGCTTGTCCAGCTTCACGTAGGTCTCCAGCTTCCCGAAGCCGATCTCAGACTGCAGGCGAGAGACCAGCCATGAGATCCCCGTGGGGGCGGGGGGCGGGAGCTCCCAGCAGGGGTGGCTGGGGGGCCGTGGGGCCGTGGGCCGGATGGGGGGCAGCCAAGGGACACTGAGGGGCAGGCAGCTGGCCAGGGAACACTGGGGGGTGGAGGGCTGGAGGGGGCTGGGGGGCAGGGTGGAAGCACCATGGGGCTGGCCAGGACACACATGGTGCTGGCCAGGGGTGCCATGGGGCTGGCCAGGGGACACACGGGGTGTGCTGGGGGACAGCGGGGCGCCGTGGGGCTGGCCGGGGGACAGCGGGACGCCGTGGGGCTGGCCGGGGGACACACGGGGTGTGCTGGGGGACAGCCGGGCGCCGTGGGGCTGGCCGGGGGATGGGGGACAGCCGGGCG